ATAAAGAGAGGAGAAAGAGATTGTATCATATATAAAGCAAATATCCCATGGGACAAAAAAAAAAGACCAACTGGTTGATTTGTTTCTGTTTTTTAATGGTTTTGAAAGAAAATTAAAACTAAAATGCACTACGCTATTGGGTAAGAGATGCAGTATAATACATTATTTAATTTATAGCATATTTTCAAACCCTTTTGTACTGTTAACAGTCTGCCGAGAGGTAGAATGTCTGTAAAATATTGAGGCTACTATTGGCTTCTGTTTACGTTTCGTAAATCAAAGGATACTCCCAGATTTTTCGCAATAATACATTTTATTTAGAAGTTTGGACCTCCTCTGGAGTATGTCCTACATCTAAATATTTCCATTTCTAAGTGCAAAAAGTTAATCCCTATGTAATTTTAAATTTGTGCCAACTTCCAACCACACTGGCCTACCTACTCTAACCTTTTGGAAATGTTTTACTTGCAACAACTTTATATACCCAATATGTTTGTTTAGCCAAGCACAAAAATGTTGTTATGATAACTATAAACAACATATTTTTGACATGACTAATATTTTCATAAAGTTGCTTTCATTTTCACAGGTCACTGCTTCTGTTTCCAAGTCAAGTTACCAGCTTTAGACTGCAGCCTCATCACAAACATTGTTTCACAAACAATTTTCTCAATCATTTTGGGCACTTAGATGGGACCATAACATCTGAAGCTACATCCTAGGATTTGATATTCCTTTTGGAGTTCTCTGTGAGTATCCTCATCCATGTTCTGTTTTTCTGACACCTTTTTTTCTTCCTTGGGCTGTTTTTATGACATTTTTTCCATGACAAACTGTTCAATGAAGTGAGACATCCAGAAGAAATTAGGTCTGGCATGAAAAAAAAATTAGTTGACCAATAAACTACCTAGAAAGTTAGTGATTTTTCTTGGGGTTGTTTTTTTTTTGTGTGTGGACATTTTATAATCTGCATTTCTGGCTTTCTACATAATATTGTGCACATTTTGCAAATGAGTTTAAACACTATCAAACTGTAATTATTCATAAAGAGTCTTTCCTTTTATTGTTAATTATATGCATCACACTAACTGAGCTTAATATACTGATTATAAGAATAAAGTTCATCTGAGGTAACAGAGTTTATTTCCTTCTCAGGCATCCAGTCTGAATCCCGGCTGCAATGTAAGTACCTCTACCCCATCTCATTACCAAAATAGCAACCTTCTTAATCCTTTGCTGAGAAGAACAAAGGTTTGATTCAGTCTCCAGTGCAGAAATAGGATCTTATTAATGCACTGGCAACAAAAGTGTTGTTATTTTTGTTAGAAAATGGAGAAATAGGAATTTGCTGATATATGTTAGATTAAAGGCTTTATTGTGTTGAGATTAATCGGATTGTTATTTGGGCCTTTCCAGTTAGAAATCTACAAAATACCCTCTAATTTAACATTCTTGAGGAGTTCAGGAACAACTAACTAGCTCAGTTTTAGTCTTTATATCTGTTCTGGGCTTTGTCCTACATGAGGGAAGGTAGGAAAGACGCTAGCAGATGCTCAGCTGTGCAGTGTAGCTTTCTGGGAAGTAGATAGTGGAGTACTGGGGACTTCTCTTCTCCTGCCTTTGCCAAAAGCACTGGTTTTCTTGGCCACTGAGCTCCTCATTACCATAATATGGATCATAGCTCAGCTCCACAGCTCCAGCTCTAGTCCGCATCCTATTAAATGTTGTGCTCCCATACAACAGAGTTCTAAGTATAGGTCCTAATTCACCATGTGGAGTAGGATGAGATGCATTACTTGCTATGAGGTTGCTTCCAACGTGCATTTGATTGACATATTTCCACTTTAGGTGACACAGCTGCATACCTTTAATTACCTATGAAATCTCTGCCTTGCATTGAAAATCTCTCTCTCCCGTGTAGGCCTGTATTGAATTATTCCTTTAGTTTCATCCCTACAGTGCCCAGGTCTCAAAGTTTATGGCTGTCTCTGGGGCCCCTTTTCACAGTAAATATGAAGTCAGGCTTGAATTGAAGAGCCATAAAAATGCCACTTGGTGTTACTGAGTTTGGGGAGATGGATGAACTTGTAATCTCTTGAATGACTGAAATGAATAGTATTGTTTAAAGTAAAATAAATACATCCAAACTGGTCCATTAAGACCAGCAAATTCTATCTGGTGATAGCCAGGGCTTGACAGGCCCCAAAGCTGACCTCACCAATTGTGCAATGTCATTTTATTCAGGTATAGACCTTGACTGGTTATTGGCCTATGTTGTGGTACATGAAATTTGTTTACATCAGTCTTAGCATGGATAACTTCAGATACAGTATTTATTTCTTTGTGTGTGACCCTGGTTCAAGGCTAGACTAATGAGAACCCTCCCAGCCACTGAGCTCAACAAGGGCTTCACAGCTAACAGTTTCCAGATCTGAATAGTTTGATGGAAAATGAAGAGTAACGAATAGGCATTTTCAGGGAATGGAGCAGCAGTTCTGTCATTCAGCTCCCCATAGTTAAAATAAATGCCAAATTGATAACCTTTAGGATCCTTTAGTATAAAGATCTATCTACTGATGAGGCTGCAGTCTGAAGCTGGTAACTTGACTCAATGGATTTTTATTTGTGAGCTGTAGGGAATTTCTGAGCTTACTTTTAGTCAATTATGTGTTGTATTAATTGGTTTTTATACAGATTGCATGTGTTCCCAGAGGGTTGGAGTCATGCAGTTTTAATAAATCAAAACATAAATAATATGCATGTCAGTAAGACAGTGGGGCCCAAATTCTGCTCTCCGTTACACCAGTGTCAACCTGAAGTAACTTCACTGACTTCTGACTGACAGTGGTATAGCTAGGAATAAAAACTGGCCCAGAAAGAGGAAGCTGACGGTGTACATGCATGTGCCTCAAACACTGAAAGCAGCTGATGTATTGCTCCCATTTCCTGGTGATGGATTCCATCTGTCCCATTATCCCCAGGATACCAAATAACATTCATTATGCTCTGATTATAAAAATAAGTAGGAGACGTCATGTGCCATCCACCTTACAGTACTGCACAGAAACAAAATGCTACTGTCACGGCGGGGCCCCTTAGTAGGGCCGTGATCTCCTCGAGGTCCCTCGCTCCGTGTCAAGGCCGGCCCAAGACACCCTCTTATTCTCGCCTGCCACGTCTTGCTGGTACATATAAGGTTGGGAGGCTGCCTATGACTCCCTGGGCACGGCTACTTGGGACCTCTGTCCCCGCGGTTCTCCCGGACTCCTGTGGTCTCCCGGTATGATGGGTGCTTCCCAGGCACCCTAGCCTTATGGGCTGCGCATGGCTCTACCAGCCCCTAATACCACGCCCCAAGCCTCGCTGAAGTGCTGAACGTTGTTCTGTCACGATACACGCCCGTTCTCCCGGGCCTCCTCTCCTGTAATCTAGCCCACTCTGGGCTCTCTCCTCTGATATACAGCCCCTCACTGGGACTCTCGGCAAGCCCACTCTGGGCCTTCTCTAAAAGTGTTGTCCCACTCAGGGCCCTCTAGTGGGTCTCAGGTCCTCTAGGCCAACCGCACGGCTACCATCTCCGATCCTGGCTCACCACACTGCTATCCCCTTTCTCCGGGGACCACCGCAGCACCTCGCCTTTCTCCTGGGGCGTCGTACTACTAACCCCTTCCGTCGGGGTCCACCGCAGCACCCTGCCCCTATCTGAGGGCTGTTGCCGCACTAGCCTACGGCCGTGCTCGCTAAACACGTCTTGGGCTTCTCAATATGG